TCATCAAACAAACATTTAATATATTCGTTAAACTTTTCAAGTACTTAGACAATAACCATTAGGTCTGTCTGTAACACAGTTTGTTGAAATAGAAAGTAATTCGTTTGTTTGTTTTGAAATTCACGCAAAGCTCCTCCAGGGCTATCTGTGCTAACCGTCCCTAATTTAGCAGTGCAAGACAACAGGTAAAGCAGTTAATTAACACCTCACACCGCCAACTCTTGGCTACTCTTTTACTAACGAATAGTGGAATTGATCGTCATATTATAATATCCCCACGGCTGAAAGGGCGAGCATGTTCGGTGACGGGAGTTCGAACCCGCGAACCGAGTGCCCTAACCACCATGCCATGTTAGGCTTAACAGTTTTTAAAACGGACTTAAGGTCAATTGCGTATACACAACTAAATAATTTATAATCCACTCGACTGGATACATCTCGTGTAGTGAGGTCGCGAACCGAGTGCCCTAACCACCATGCCATGTTAGGCCTAACAGTTTTTAAAACGGACTTAAGGTCAATTGCGTATACGCAACTAAATAATTTATAATCCACTCGACTGGATACATCTCGTGTAGTGAAGGTCGTTCTTTCAAAAATAGAACTCGTAAATAAATCAAATCATATCTATTTCATTACATGTTGAAAGATTAAGTTCTTATACTGCTATCAACTGTTTTACATGGAAACTTTTAAAATTACATCCACAAAAAAAGTTAAGCTCGGGATAAATCAATGACACATATACGTATAAATATGATTTTATTGTTTTCAAAATCAGTTGTTTGTTATGTACAGGTTATATATTAGTATTCGAAACAGCAACATGATGATGACAGCTAACGTGTAAAAATCTACTTCTTAATTATCGATTTGAAAAGTGGCTTGATTCAATCCTCTATTTCATAAATTTCAGTTAAATTTTACCTTTTGTACTAAAGAGTGATTCAGTCAGTTATAAATATACGTCGGGTTTATTATGTTTTACACAAAAGTACGGTTTTTAGTTGGGTTTGTTTATTTGATCCAAAATCTGCGCTATTATATGTGTTACTCAAACTACTGTGTGTGTGTTCTAACACTTACTTGTGTTACTCCAACTAATGTGTGTATGTTCTAACACTTATTTGTGTTACTAGTGTTTAAAACATACATCAGTCGGGGCCACTCCGGGAAGTGTTAAAACACATACATCAGTTGGGGCCACTCCACATAGTGTTAAAACACATACATCAGTTGGGGCCACTCCACATAGTGTTTAAAGCATACATCAGTTGGGGCCACTTAAGGAAGTGTTGAAATATGCACACATCAGTTGGTATAGTTTACAGATTTACACACAAATATCACACACTACAGTTTACAGATATTACACACACAAACATAAACACATTACAGTTTACAAATATCCCACACTACAGTTTATAGCTTTACACACAAATATCACACACTACAGTTTACAGATTTACACACTACAGTTTACAGATTTACACACAAATATCACACACTACAGTTTACAGATATTACACACACAAACATAAACATACTACAGTTTACAAATATCACATACTACAGTTTACAAATATCCCACACTACAGTTTACAGATATTACACACACAAACATAAACATACTACAGTTTACAAATATCAAACACTACAGTTTACAGATTTACACACAAATATCAACACACTACAGTTTACAGATATCACACACACAAACATAAACACACTACAATTTACAGATATCGCATACATATACAAATTTAAACACATTGTACCTCACACAGATCAAATACAGGGCAAAAACATGCTAGATCAAAGATCAGATTCAAAACACATAAAAACTAAAAATCAGAGAAATCAGATTCTGTTTTAAGCCACTTCAGACTCTCCACATAGTGTTTAAAACATACATCAATTGGGGCCACTCCGAGAAGTGTTAAAACACATACATCAGTTGGGGCCACTCCACATGTGTGTGATATTTGTGTGTAAAGCTATAAACTGTAGTGTGGGATATTTGTAAACTGTAATGTGTTTATGTTT